TTATACATCGTCAATGAAGCTGGTAATTGCGATGCTTTTGGATGAGTGTCGAAAGGTACAATACCTAGATAGGCAGATGCAATGGTACGCAACATAGCAAAATGAAAGACAGACTATACGGTGTAATAGACAACTGTCTATGTATATGTCCTTGCGCTTCTGTTCAGAACGAAAAAAGCCTACTCTTGAAGTTGATCGTTTTTGAGTTCAACCACTGTTTATTTGCGTGCATTTAACCCATTAGTAAATTATCGTATTCGCTGAAAATTCCCGATTGTAAAAAATTGGCTCACTGATTTCGTTTCCGTATGAGTGCGACGCCGCGCACGGACTGAGACTGCAAAGCTGTGTTATACGCAGTTTTATATTTATTCCCACTGTCAGATAGCAACAATCAAAGGTAGTCTGCTTGTTCGCCTCAAGAGGTGCAAGAACCTTACGTGGTTCGCTATGTGTGACTGAAACTGCCGATGGAAGCTTAGATTGATACAACGTTTCAGTCGCGAGTTTTACGGTGAAGACACGGTAGTTTAGGTAATCTCATGGGTACGCATGAGAACTGCGGAAGATCGGGGAGTGCAGTTACCATATTCCTGTGATACCGTTTCTACCATGTTTAACCGGCCAGCATAGCCAGATATGTGTTCAGGTTCGAAGCTGAACAGTAAAATATTGGTACGTCATATGTTTTGTGTTTTATGATAAATAGTGTTAAATATTTTAGTGGATAATATTTACTTCCTACATTTTAGATAGGCAACAACTTCGTTTGTAGCATTCGTTATGTAGCAAGCGTCGCGAATCAGTGAGGATTGATTATCGGTCTAAAGATACACGCAAAAAACTTCATTGTTGTTTTATAGATATACCAATATATAGAAGATACGCCGATTTGAAGTTGCATGCCAATACTATAAAGCTTCTAAAACGATCGTAAGGTATTTTACTACATGTTGCTTCTGTGCCGTGACGAGTCTACAGTCGGCTGAATGAATCTCGCCGTTTGTTGATTAAGTACCTCTCTTTGGACATTGACAGACGTCAATAAATGCCCCACCGATAGATTATCTCATTTTATTACAACCTGCAACGTCCTATGTCTATTATACCCTTGAGTACTCCCTATTGGTGTCGCTCATCATAAAAAATGAGGTATACTATTGTGACAGATGCGGTTCTCACGCATTCCGGTGTTTTTCTTTTTTGAAGTTGTCTCGTCGGCCGCAATCTTGTATCGCAATATGTAATCGCTACGTGACTTTGGTAATATTGACCATCGTTCGTTATCTAATAGTTTTCTCTGCTCAAACAGGGTCAAAATGGTTGCGTCTTATTTTTACCAATTACTACAAATCGTCGCGTAGTTGTATTCTCGAACGCTTTCTTCCCCACGATGTGGAACATTCCTAGTCACTCCTGAGTCGTTGTCAGTTTCTATATAAATTATATCCCGTCGGTTAAAAAGTAACTTTTACTGTATTCTCCTAATAACGAGGCGCGAGTGTCGTATAGGATGGCAAAACTCGTTGTTGTCATTCGTTAGGAAGGCTTACGGTAAGCCATTGAAGTATCCGTTTAGGCTAAGTAAACTCTGAGTGAAACGTTATATGTTTCAATGGAAATTACATAAAAACTCAATTTATCGTTGGGTGGCACGGAGACACACGAATAAGCCGATCCATTTACTTAGGGCAATGGATGGGGGTCGTATCGACATATAAATACCTTCGTTGAACTAATTTCTTGTATTGCGAACAGGGCTTTACGCCCTACACGGCTCGCAGGAGATTAGGCCAAAAGTAGTTGTCACCAGAATCAAGTAGATGATACTTCTTACCGAAAGTCGTAATCCTAATTTCGCGTATACATTAATCAAACGAAACGCGTATCTACGTGTTGCAGTGCTTGCCTTAGCGATGCAGCAAACACAGGCTAATTTACTGTATTTTGAAGTATTCGAAAAATTTACCTCATATGAAATTTTTTTCATATTTGTGCAAGATGAGTGAAGTCGCTAGACCATGTGAGAAAGTCTAGGAGAAAAACTACTTAGCATTGCCTAGCTGTGGGTTATGGCACGTTGAGAAGGGCGCTCAATTACGTCGGGACTAAAACGTGAACTTTTCCCTGGTTGTCGTCGTTTCGTATCGACTTGAAGTCCCGCGAATCTGTGACAACGTACTCTTGTACACGCTTGTTATTTCATTAAAGCAATGCTGCCCTTTTATGCTCCTAAATAAGATGATAATAAACTGATAAAGTCTAGATAAACTGATGAATATATGCACCGCTCGTAAATGCGGCGCATGTATTCATCAGTTGAGATACCTTTTCGAATAGGAAATCGTAGAGTGAGTGGGGCAGATCTTCACGTCTTCTTGGCCGTCGTATGTCGTGTGAAGCTGTGAAATATTTGCTTAGATAATGGATCATCATGACCTCCACTCGAATGAATAAAACAGTAATGATCAAGAGTATAAATTAAAGGGAAAAACTGGCACGATGTCAAATGAATCAAATTAGCAAAGGACGTCGGATTGATTTAGCACTGAGGCCGATTCTGCCATGCATCGATCGGTGCTGACCTTGTAGCCATGTCAATGGAGTCAGCCCTGGGCATGCATAGCTATACAACGTACGCTAATTATATAAATGTCAAAGAACAGATTCTACTTTGAAGAAGTAGAGATAATTCATCTTTGTTGTATTACAGTATATACAGTATATCTTTTGCAAATGGCTGTATACATTCATTAGAAACGATTTATTTATCCAACGTAATGTACTGGCTGCCGGGTGCTGAAGTTCTGTTTTGTTACGTTATACCTATGGATGCCCCACGCAGAAGGCCGATAGTGTCTGCGAAGATACCAACGTTGCGCCGCTAGCCGATCACTAACTAGCCTGGTTTTGTGGTCACTGCGTAACATTCGCATTGTAACACACATTCGTACAAGGGCAGCAAAGATGTTCACGTATCCTTGCCTGGACCAACGATGTGCACTGGTGTTTGTATGCATATTCATGGCACGAAGCATGCATCGTGCACTACTTACTACCCATAGTTTACGTGCGTCAACGAATTATGTGTCGTCATTTATTCGAGCAGCACTTCTTGTGATACGAATACGGTTAGTTGCATGTACGTGCGTAGAACAGCGTTGACCTGCTACAGTGTGGGTATTACTAGTAGACAGCGAGCGGAGGAGGTAACGAGAGAATCGATAGACAAGTCGCAACATCGACAGCCGCTCTGCAACCTATATATATACGGGTTTCTGATGACTACAACGATGATGATGATGATGGTGGTGGTAATGATGATCATGTGTCCGTTCATATCGTGACTTTCGAGGCCTTAAGGTGACTCGCGCCTATTAAAAGAAAGATGGAAACACTGAATTTCTGGGTTGGACGTATACCTGATGCTGGGTAACTCTGTGTGTGCGCCTATGTAATTCTAGATCTTTCGATTAAACCAGCGCCGGCACCATTATGGATAGTGGTCAGTGTCGCAGGCCAATACTTCCAGCAGACCTGACAATGCTCACATTAGGCCAATCACTTGACGCTTATAATGGGAACCTTCAAAAGAAGTGGCTATTACACTTACTATCATAATAGTGATAACAATGCGGCGATAAGTTAATAGTATTAAGCGTGTGAAAAGCTCAAGAACGCAGTCTCAGTGTTTCCAGATAACTTCTACGTAGAACGTTTTCACTATAGTTGTTCCTCACATGAAACACGTTTCGTATAATTTCTTATAATAATGCAACGACTCTCGATGCTCGAGGTCGTGACGCCGCGGTGCAGTAGCACCAATAGCAAGAGCGGGTGCTGGTTATTTTGCGATGTTTCTGTTCGGCACGACGGTCGCCCATGCCGGCGTTTTTACAGTCGGTGCTGTTTCTGTACGCCTATGTTACGCTGCTGATCCATGCGGTTGTCTGGTATGTATACTGCGCTCGCTAAAAGGGAACTGGATGAGTCTGGCGTCGGATCAAGTGCCCCTGGCTGAGCTTTATTCTGTTGTTTGCATGTCATTACGGTCCCTTGCTAGCGGCCGCCACCGCTGCTGCTCGACGTACACACGCTGTATGCCGATAATATCGCTTGTTATTATTGTCTACACCGCGATGAACGACGCACCATCGTCACTATACACAGTGGCAATGAATCATTCAAGAAAGATAGTCAATAGTAGCAGCAGCAGCGATGAAGTAGAGGAGAATCCTTTCTCAGTCGTGGGTGTCTGGATACGCGAGTGCCGACGACGAGATACTGACAAAGTTACAGCCAGCCAGCCAGCCAGCAAAGAGGGCAACGCTACTTACACAAGCGCGCATACACACACAGACACCTTATAGGTTTACCCTAAAAAAATAGCTCAGCAATGCTCAGGTTACAGATAGGCAGGGATTGACGCTTCTAGCTGATGTTGTCGGCGGCAACACCCGCTGCCCTCGCGTCGCGCTAGGATCTATGCGCTGAAGTTTATGATGGCAAGTGGACTATTCTTGTTTAGAAAAATTGTACGTTAGTATATGTAACACTCTGGTGATGGGCGAGCGTTCCATGATATGTTCGGTATCGTCAACAATCTGATACGAAACGTTTTGGTTGGTAGTGCCGTTTGTGACATTGAATCTGTCGTGGCTAGGCAAAGTACCATCGTATAGTTTCGTGAACTCTGGTGAAGATCGGGATCTTTGCGTATCGTCTTCTCGGTTGTCTATTGTTTTGCTAAATTACATTGTGCCAATGGCGTATCGATGCGTCAATACCTCAACGGTAATAACTTGACAAGTATTTTTTTATACTTGTATCGTAGAACAGTTTTTCGCTATAAGTGAGGCAATTGATAGGACTGCTAATGGAATAGGGATTTTTTTTCTAGATCGTACCAATAAAACCCACTAAAATCTACTAACGGATCTTCGGTGATTAGTGACTCTTTTCCTTCATCTTCTGTATGCGTGCGTCTACCAATATCAAAGACGGCTCGTTATTTTCGGGAGGCTGTTTTCTGTTTAGATCGAGTAACAATAACAGGAGCATGATACGCCTGGAATCAAGTGAGAGTTGTACGGACATTCGGGCATTGCGTGATCGCCTGCGAAGTGCCAAGATGCAGCTCAGCTCCCAACAACAACAACAGCAGAGCCAGCATCAATCTTCGAACAGTTTCGGCCAACAGCATTCGAGCTTGACGAGCGGCCTGGGTAAGATAGAATACAGACAGGATGGCCTGTGCGCGTCATTTAAATAGAGCTGGCTGGGGTAGTCCTAGTGGCACCCCATTAAGGCCGGGCAACATAACGACGACGAGAGCTAAACGCCAAATTGTCGCGCTACTAAATACCACATATAATAAAATAGAAATTCTCTGTTCTGCTGCTCTTTTTTTCGCTTCGTGGACTTTTCGCGCTGAACGAATGTGTGACTAGCCGTAGAAATTAATAGTCGTAGAAAGGAATATCTCCTTTCAGAACTCGTCTTTTGTTCGTGACCTTTGTTCTGTTATAGTGATGAGTGAATGGCAAAGCACCAACAGTATTGCATCGCGTATATTGTATTGTGCCTATTGCGTGTACAAGCCGGGTAGAAACGTTATATTTTAAAACGTTACTGCACAATCTTCTAACTATTAAATCGACTGTGAGAGATCGAGTTCTGCATGTTATAAAATCCTCAGTCGTCTATCTACTACAACTAAATATCTATCGTGTTTAAATTAATAATATAATATAAATAATATAACAGCAAAATGTGTGCTATTTAAATCGTCCTATAGAAAATGCCGAGGTTTCCTCGATTCCGAATTTCGGAGTCGTAAATTTGTCAACAATTTCTGTTCCTTTATCACCTTTTCAATCATCAGTGTCATATTATTAAGGGCACTTAGCGGTGCTCGTGAACGGAACCATGGACATTACTCATCATTTTGTTTCAAGCAGCGTAAACCGTTTGTTGTTCTTTTCGTATATGTTTTTTCCTTGGTCTTTGGATAAAGAGCTTGAAGGATTACAAATGCCGCCACTTGCACCAGCTGGAGCAAACGTTCGACGGCTCACTGAAAGCAACAACGAAAGCTGTTTCTGAAATGGGTAGGTGGCGTCGCAGAACGATGACGAGCGTCCGTTGTGGCTGGTAACGTTGACTCGCGGAAGCGTGGTAGCCAGACAAGGCAAGACATACGAGTAAGCGGCGTATACGGCGGGGCCGTCCACTGACATAGGCGTAGAGGAACGGCCCTGGCAAGTCGTCTAGGTGGGCAACGTCCTACTCGTTTTTTCTGAGAATCATCGTGTCTGGAATATTCGGTATCTGTTTGGAATCGTGTGGGTTTTTGTGATCCTGCCTTCCTTTGCTAGTTTTACCATTGGGGTCAGTTTTTGCATTCAGATTACGCCAGCTGATAAATCCGCCTGCTCACATGAAATTATTTCTATTGAGACACACGTTTTGAATTGTACTTCGACCTGTTGTACTCTGCATATTCCTATAGCCATTCTGCATAACGTTTACGTGAACGTAGACGGCTATTTTAAAAGCAACATGGCCATCGAGCTGCGAAGCTGTTGAGTCGTTCGTCTGCCTGGCGATTCCGATGAATTTGAATTATTAAAATCGCCAGATATTTCCGTTACAGTTTGCAAGCGCCGGTCAATCCATTAAAGACGTTTTCTCAACGATACGTATATCTTTCGCCAAGTGATTCTCTGCACACAAGGCACTACCGATGACACTTATAGACAGGGCAGATAGAAACGAGGGTCTAACGTCGCTTGCATAATAACATCCAACGGGCTCTTATGTTTAGTAGTTAGTGATCGTGATCAGATTTGGAAGTGGAGAAGCACAGAGATGAGACTTCAACAAACACAACACTCCAGCTGTGATGAACCAGGCTTGACAGGGAACATGCTTTGTCTGTAGGAGCGTCTGCTAGACGCTACATTGTATCGTTGGCAGACCTGCGACGTTTTGGCCGTTGTCGACACTGGCGCCGGCGGTGATAACCGTAGTCTACAAAGGCATTTTCGGAGAAGCCGCCTGAGCAGTGTAAAAACAGATGAACTCAAACATATCTTCAGGCAAGGTCTCGTTCGATAGAATATGTTCACACCTTTCGAATACAGGTTCGGTGCTAAGCGTGGCCGTGACCTGACTGTCAGCGTCGGTGCTGTTACTTTTTCGGTGTGCTTCCTGTATCAGTGTTTCCCTAGGAGCTCAATATTCTGAGGCTACCCCATCTTTTGTGGTGCTTACTGGCCTGTATTTGCGTCACCTAAACGCATTTGCTCATATATCGGATATTCGTTTTTTGTCGGTGATGTTTCCAACTATACGGCTGCATTCGAGTCAATGATGACAGCATAATGTCGCCGATCGTCGATGCTGTAGTTAATACTGATAATGTTAGGATGTGCCGCAACAGGAGTGCCGGCAGCGGCGGCGGTGACAGCAACAACGACAGCAGCCCTTACGAGGAATCAAGCCTGAATAAACTACTCTACTGATACCGGTTTTTGAGAAGGACACACAAACCGACGACTGTTGCGATGGCGGAGAGTGTTTGAAGCAAGATCTAACGCACGAAGTCTCAACAAGATAGTACAACAAATGGCAGCGGACAGCAGGCTATAGGCGTCGGTGCGATGTAATATAGAAGAAGAGGGTGTGCGCACAATGACGGCAATAACGTCTTGCAGCTGTTTCCAAGCGACCATAAATGTCACGGTGGATCAGTGGTCGTAGTCGAAGCCGAAACGTTGTCGAAGAAACAGCAGCAGGTCAAGGAGCTACGACGAGGGACTAGGAACAAGGAACAGTTGGCAACAAGTGTACACACACACACAGCACTGCTCGCCGATAGTAAATAAAGGCAGACAGATTAAGGTACAGACATATACAGATACTCACAGATCGATTCGAGCTCAAGGAAGTAACGACAGATTATGCCAGCCAGCGTAAGACAACAGTAGGAACGACAGCAACAGTAGCAAATCCGCTGCTCGCAGCGGTGGTACGCAATAAGCACGAAGTATCGAACGCCCCCTTTCATCATAGGCCACAGTATAACAGCACATAGCCGACAGCGATCGCGCGTAGAAGCACGACAGGACAACGAGCGAAATATACCTCGGCATCGCACAGGGAGATCTCCTTTCTACCCTAGCCTACTGTGACCACGGATGGCTGCGACAGCTACAGCCACTAGATGTACTATAAATGTGAAAACAACAACAAAATAATAGCGCCGTCGACGCCCGCCATTGCTGCTGTGACCGCTAAAACGAACGTCTGAGGTCAATACAGACAAATCAGACAATGAGCCAGCGCCACAACGGCTATGGCGGCAAAACGATGAACGGTTCAATTGTGTGCTGAACCTAGTTGTTGTAACGAACTAGCAGTCGTAGTGCTACTGTCCAATGGTGCTAAAGAAAGCGACGGCGGTAATGGAAATCTGGTCGACGCGACACGCTAGGATACGTCGGGCGCAAAATACCGCTCAAGTGCTTGAATTGACGGCTGAATAGTTTGTCAGTTGTCACACGAATGTCAGTCCGATGTTCAATGCAGTGCAGGGTCCATCCACATGGCTGTCATGGTTAGTTCCTGAAAGTATGCTAGATCATAGTGGTACCCTGCTAATGGATTGCTGATCCGCTCCGATCAAAACATGCCAAACAAGCGACGATGACTTGTTAGCGAAAACGTTAAGTGCTCATAACAAATCAGGCTTGACGATCTTGTTATTACCGACGAAGCTGAGTGATTTCGACGAATCTAGAACGGTTAAAGATACAATAGTGACGGTGATGGGGGAAGTTTTTGCCGAGTGCATATGTATGTAAACTCTTTTCTGGTGTGTACGTGTGATTGTTTTGTAATACATCGTGTTTATGCAGAGCTGATCATGTACGCGTGTGTGTCCATTATGATTTCATTCGTCACACTTTGATTGTAGTTCTGGTCAAAATGACAGTGCCCTTCAGCTCTTGCATAGCCTTTGAATACGGATAGTATTGCCGTTTTAAAATGAAATACAAAACGATGAAGACTGAGTCGCTGCGATTGTCAATCATACTCACGTCGTCATGTTGAATAATAAATGTCAAAAAATGCCATTTCTCATTTCACCCGTCTGCACTTCAGTAGCTGAAGTTAGAAGTAACTCGATTTTGGGGGCAACTTTCGCAATCAACCCACTTTGTATTGTACACGTAAATACCGATGCGGTGCACTGTTGTCCAAACAGCGCACTATAGACCGTAGACTTAGAATCTTTTTGATCGACCGATCCAAATGTAACTAGGGGTTCGTCCAAGTCACTGCAGAAACTATCTGCTGTTTCGTTAACATCTATTAATTCCACTTACTTTGGCCTCAACTTACCTTGTACAGGAATCGCATCACGTCCAACCATGTATTCTGTTTGAAATGCCGTTCCTCGAGCGGAAAAACCTCTTACGCAAACCTGTAAAACGAACAGAACTGTTTATTTAACCTGTAATCAGACCAATTGATTCTACATCTGTACTACATTCGGTTAGTCTCAGTAGTTAGCTGTCAACTTGCGGCTCGCTCCTGCAACCCTACAGATATCTTTAGCAAGGTCCGCGATGAACAGAAACTACCCGCGAAGAACTAAATACCCGATCCAGGCAGAATTTCTGCAGTCTAATTGCTCTTCATATCCAGGTCGTCTACGGCATTGCAGTCTTAACGCTGGCTATCCGGATACATTTGCACTATCGCCGTCTCCGTGTGACTAAACATGCATTAGTTGCTCCTATACTTCGTCAGGCGAATTGAAGAAAGCTTGTTCCAAGCCAAAAACGTCATCGTCATCTTTAGACCACCACTGCTGGCTGCTGTTCTTTGTGTCAATCATTTATTTCTCATAGTATGACATGATGGCATACGATCGAAAACTGACATTGATGCAGAGACGTTGTCGGCGCCGGCTGTCAAGCGCCAGGCGCCGATGCGACTAGCCTTTATTGCTTAGATACCTTTAGCCACCGTGAACTCACTTAAATTTGTGACTGTTTCCAAAGAGTTTAAACGGACATTTGTCACGACGGCGTAAGTCGATGCGGTGTTATTGGCCAACTGTGGGATTGCTTCGTAGCGTATATGTTATAATGATAATTTTTATGTATAAGTAGTGGTTTTGACGATGATAGCTTCCAGCGTTTCATTTGCTTGGACGCTCTCAGCATATTTTGCTAAGATTTAGCCTGCCTGCCTGCCTGCCTGCCAGTCAGCCGATCAAAGTTTTTTGCGCTTATAAGTGAGTTCACTGTAGGTCTGCTATGTTACCTATTTATCTAGTAATGCACCGCTTTCGCTACTGCTTCGAAAGTAGAAGCTATTTTTCTGCTGTTATCGTCGTCGGTGTGGCCGACGACGGCGAGCGTAAATTTTAGTTCTATTGAATAGCAAAGATGTCATGATTGCTTCAAGCATGCGTCTGCTAATGAAGAACAGCTAGTGCGGAAAGCAAACTGTTTCTTTCTACATATTTTAACGTTTTCTTCTGTGATCGTATCTGTCTCTATCCGATTACAGGGTCGTTGTCAGCCAGTGGAGGCATTTGGGCACAGGCACAAAAACGTCAGTTCCCTTCGTACGCTACAACACCGAGAAAATATGGAGGGTGTAAGTGTCCTATTCTGGGCTTAATCTCTGCTAGTTAGAATTTAGAACGCTAGCTTGTACTGTCATTACTAGCCAGAAATATATTTCAATTTAGTTAACTGTTTCTTGTTTTTGTTGGTTCATGTCAAAAATTATATCTGTTTGCAGCAATGTCAAGGTCGGCGAGTATGGGTAGTCTTAACAATCCGGGAATGTACGCGGCTCCAGCAGTTAGCGGAGGCCAAAACGATCAGCTGGTGGGAGCCAACGGCCTAGGGCCAGGTGGACCTTTGGGAGGCATCCATCGAGCCCCCTCGGCCCACTCTTTACGCAGGGGAAACACCAACCTCACCAAAGTCAGGTAGACATACAAGGTCGATGTTATACAATGGCTGGTTGCAATCCGACGACAACAAATCATGAATACTCTCCATTTTCGTTCTACGTAGAATGTTCGGTTTAACGTTTTCACGAGATCGATGTCATTGTACTCGAGCTCCTATTGGTAGTGTAACAGACGTTTGTGTAACACAGTATTGTTTTCTGCTAAAGGCTATGCGATATAATCCATGACAGTATATACTAGTTTCATAGGCGCAGCACTCAGTCTATAGGTCATATCAGAAGTTCTCTACCTTTGTTTTTATAAGTGGCCTTTTTTTCTACTTTTTGCCGGTTTTTTAGGTCCTCATCAGCACTAAACCGAAACTCGTTAATAAACAAGCACCTTGTGTCACCTGAATCTGACAGCGATTCTGACTCAGAAAGCACCACGCTGAGTGACGCCGTCACGCATAGGTAAGCGTTTTAGAGTGTTGTCCTGTTATTATACATATAAAAGAAAATACAATTCTGATATACCATAGAAATGATCTATCGATAGACGCCTAATTTTCGATAAAGCTTCTCTTAAGAGCACCCGCCACAAAAAATATCAATTTTTTTAATTATATTTTTTAGGTATATTTTTAGTTATATATAGTATGTAGGCGATCCATGAAGGCTCTGCAAGCGAGCAGGTGCATAACTCTGAATCTATTTATAGCAAATGAATGTTTCGTTAGATATATAGTCTGTCTTTAGCTTATCTAAGTAATTTTTCTTTATTTTTTCGTTCATAATCAATTATGGCCATCTGCCAATGCCGAAACAAGCAAAACATGTATGTAGCTACAAAAAAAAGGGCATCAGACCGGCCCTCGCTCTACGGTCACTTGAATCTATATTATCTGTGAATAAAACATAGCAGTTGGCCTACCATAATGCTAGTAAAATTGGGATAAAGAAAAGGTTACTTGAGCACGTCTATTTGTTAATTAATTAACATTGCGATTGTATTGTAACTCCGGGAAACAATTTATTCTACTGGGTGCAGCATACAATAAATAGGCGAAAGTATGACATCGCGACTCTCTGGCGTTGCGCAAACGTAACAGGACTAGATAACGACGAACGGTCTCGCGTTGAACGGGCGAAGACGTGGGTTGTGATGCAAATGTACCAGTTAACAGATAAATATCTCCTAGAAAATAGGACCGATAGGTTCCATTTGCCACTCCTTGATGTCTAACAATCCACATAGACTATGGACGCGAGGAAGAAATATTCAATCAATGATTTCTTTTTCTTTCATGTTTTAATGCGTATGTATTCAACTGTCCACAGGTAATTCCTGGGGATATATAATGATATCGTCATATCTTTTTTTGTCTACCAGCATTCTAAAACTAGGGATCATTGACCTTTGTACACTATTGACGCAATATATCTATAATTACGTCAGTGCATTAGTAGACATCTATTGCAGACATTCAACAAGTGTTTATGCGCAATTGTTCCTTGGTCTAGGCACTCTTTGAGCCGAAGTTTCAGCCGGCAGAGCCAGGTGGGGCTCGTGACACCACATAGCGGCCAGCAGCTGAATCCACAACAGCATCAACAGCAATCGCAGCGAGGGCAATTCACGCTTCCACGAAGGTATGTCTTAGCTAAATAAATGTGGGCTCATATACACATAGAGCATACGCGGAAGGATAGCGACTTTATATGGCATTGGGCAATGATTTGCAGTCACCTAAGTAGGCGATTAGCTATTTCCATTGTGTTCCGTGTATTCAAAGAAGTTGCGAAGCGTCAACATGTATGGTTGTCTATTGTATATCCATTGACACCGAAGTAAATGCTACATTTACATCCGAATAGTTACAGAACACGCAACGGGCTGAACTTTTAAGTGCCGTTCGCAGAGGCATCGTGGTTCGTGTCCTGCGAACAACCGCTTGTTAGCAAGAAAAAAAAACAATCATTTCCAGTTCAGTATCTGCAATTAGCGTGTGCATAATTCAGCGTACGATAGACACAAGCGTTGTACGCATGACGGGCATCAGTAGCTATCCAGTATTCTTTTCTATGAACCTGTGGGGCGAGTTAGAAATTTCGAGATACGCCACCATCACCATGACGGTTGCGTCAATGTGTGGGAGGCGCCAGACAAACGGAGACGCTAATGTCAACCGAATCAAGCTAAAAGACTGGCTGAATCATCAACCTTATTGTTGTTTTCGCATCACTATATGGCGACATCATTTACTCCATGTAATATAACAATTGCTTTTTGACGATGCGTTTTGTCTTGCCGATTGCTACAGCTGTAGCTGATTATTTTCGCTTTCAGTCAATTACTTCGTTCCATTTGAACGATCCGTTTGTTTAGTACAAACAACATTATTTACGTTGTTTCATCGTTACAAGAGTTTAATATTGTTGTACATGGACGTGTACGTACTTGTGACGGTCGTGACCACCGTGTGACGCGAGGTTACACAACGTCGTAGCATAGTTGTGAAGTAAGGTCATTTACAATCGCTCATTCAACGGTCGTGGGCATACTAGAGGTCACTTCGTGGTGAACTGCCCATTAATCTAATTAATGCTCAGGCTCGCCAAGGACGTCGTATACGAAAGCCAAAAAACATATCCACCAAAAGGAACAACAGTCTATTAATGGCAACACTAATCTAACCGCCGCTGAAACATTAATTTTAGGCTTAAATTAGCAGAGGGCACAAACTGTACGTATACAAAATCAGATTAGTGATAATTCACTCGATTGGTATCGATAAAAAAGCTGTCATAGGAACATGCAAATACAAACGATGGTCGCTTTTACGCGCTGTTCTATTCCATGGCTATATAATTTCATTACTAGGTCATTATCGTTGCTGGTCTATCCGTGAGGCTTTTGTCGCGACTACCCATTTTTTGTTTGGCATTTACATGTCTCTTAGATATAGCAGCAACGCAAACCATGGCGAGGGTCCGCGCGCACTCGTCGAACCCATGCCTCAGGCCTTATCGCAGGTGGCAGTCGGCCACCAGCCGCTGTCACAGGAACTTTGTGACCGCGTCGCCGAAGATTTGAAGCGCGTCACCAGACAGGCGATTCAACTGTTCCATAGGGTCACACTTAATATGGAACTGCCGCTGTCAGCGAAATCGACAATGACGCAGACTCTCGCCAGTTCTGTTCTGCAGGCCCAGCAGCACCTGAGCCTAGCGGCACCTCCACCGCCAATGAATCCAATGACGCACGCCATGCTGGCGCAGCAACAGGCCATGATAGGCCATCAGAATCACGCGCATTCCACGGCTCAGCATTCACAGCCACCACTGCCACAGCAGCAGACCCCGAACGTTACTCTGGGTGAGTACAATACACAGTGCACTGCTTAATTTGAGAAACTCATCTAAGCAGCAGATGTATCCCCGAACGGCATTGTTTTTTTATAAGCAATGACACAGACTTGGCGTCAAAATTTAGTAGTCGGGTAATAACATTGTACACTTAAGAACCTTAAAACTACTAATGGCCACAAAAAAAACTCATATAAGAAAATGTCTGTTTTACATTGTTACAGATGCTTCAGCATTGTCTATGTTACTTGGAGGTGCTGCGGCCTCGGGAGCCAACGCAGGCGCCGACCCCTCAGCCGGCAATCATTCGATCAACAGTGTCCTTCAGCAGTACACGCAACACATTCTGAAAATGGTGGAGGAGAAAATTAGCCAGGCTAAACCCGATCCTGGCGCCAAATAACTCAGGATGGCATGCATCATCGAGAATCTACTCTATGGTAATAGAGTGGTGATATCGTTTCAAGGAATACACTATCGATGAGTATCAATTTTAATATCGTTAAGCTGTATCATCTATGTGGACAGATTTCGACAAAATGTACCATCCGCAAGAAATAACCGCTTCATCTTTGGCGCATGCCTCTGGGTCGATTTAGACCATCTGGGCAAGACCCGCCCTGCTTCCCTTCCCCCCTCCGAAAGCCAAACACCCGACGTCGATAATGATCAAAGACAAAGTACTTCTTTACATCTTTTTACACATACTTTTATAGATATTCCGCTGGAATTTTTACGCGACTTTCAAAACAAACTGAAAGACGTGCAACTGCTAACTAACCGATTGATACGTTCGAAGAAGTTCTAGCGTAGCGTTTCCGCAGACGCGAACGACTTCCTATGGCCACAGAAGCAGTAAATGGCATACAGGAGCAAAAAAGCCAATGACGTCTTTCTGTATGGTCATACCAAGGTACAGATTGAGGTAAACTCGTAGTTCCGGTTGAAACTCTTGTTAAAGACGAGAGGTCAAATAGACTCATCTATTGCAAACCATTTTCTCTAAAAATCGTTGACTATGCCGCAAAGCCTGTACGTTTACGAAGACAGTAGCTTACCATGTAGGTAAGGAGAATCGGACATGGTAATTGGCCATTTGTAGGCACAGCTTTATTTGTCATGGGCTGCGTACAGCATAGGTTGGGTTATGGCAACAAATGGTCCAGTAGCTTCTGGCGCAAAACAGATGACGAATGAACGAACGAACACGAAGACAGACACTATGCTATATATATAATGACTTCTAGCTCTTGTACATAGCGGACAATGGGACGTGCCATAGCCGCCACCCTGTCTGACATCACCTGTTTAGTGAACCAACAAGAAAAGAGCATCATTATTAACTACGAAATGACGACGATCGTAACGATACCGAACGAAAATAACATGATTACCAGCTATATTAATAAACATATACGTAAAGTAGAGGTTACACAATGGACTGATGCAGCTGGAAAGTTGGTCTCGTCCGAAGCTATTTGGGTTACTGTTGTGTTACAATGCCCCACTGGTAGCGCGAAAAGGTGCAATTTTTTTCGTGTTTTTCTTCAGCATTCGATGGTAAATATTAACGGAACGTTAGTTAGAAAGACATATCACGCACAGAAGTCTGTTTTGTAGGCCTACGTATGCAAGCATGTTAGCTCGTATCGATTGATGGCCGCTGTCAGCCGAACTAACTGTCCATCAACAAATCAATCGCTCGCGGGAGTCGCTAGATTTTACCATCAACTATCTTCACACAGTAATACCTCATTCCACTCGAACCTTTCATACCCGCTGTATCCTGATGCTGCTTGTAATGCAAAAAAGTATTCAAATATATATGACTGCCAAAACAAGACGGTGCATATTCGGGAAAAAAGTCCAAGTCGCAAGAAGCACAACACAGCACTTTGTACAGGGGTTTTATGGAGGTAATTTAATTGTAAGCGATGTGTTAGGTGCACTGTTCCTGTGAGAAGAACGCGCAGTCGTGTTTTGTAAAAAACAAAAAAAACTAACCGTACACACATTACGATAGTTCGATGAGAAGAAACTGACGAGGAAACAATCCGACTAATGATTAATAACTGATAAGTCTGTATGACGTCTATCAACGACGGATGGCAGCTCGTCACCTCTCGGCGCTTGGTAATTAGTTAATTGATAAAATTACTGTTATAATAATAATAATAATAATTATCTAGCTATAATTATTGTTGTTATTGTAACTATACTGTCGTTAACAATATCGTCGTACAGGGAAGAATTTGCACTTCTTTTTGTATCAAGAAAGGTATCTAGATACGTTACATATGTATTCTTCACAGGATCATAAAATGTGAAATAAATGCTTTAGAATGATTAAAGAAAAACACATATACATTCGTATGTGAAAATAATGTGCGTTCTTATTGTTGCTTCACCGATTGATGAAATGATTTTGGCACCAAAATCTGGTGTCCGTTCGTCTAGCAGACGATTAACAACTAAGATTAATTGATCGATAACAGGTAGGGAAAATGGTAATCGCTCGTCATGTCGCTCAGTATGACAAGCATGCATACATCTCATCATTCGGTTCGATCCGGTCAGATTTCTTGGAACTTCAAAATATTCATTCGGATAGCGCCACTCAAGATTTCTGGCGCTGCCAGCTTGCAGTATGCTTTGGACAATCCCAACGGAGTTCCGTTTTGTCCTGTAGGGGAGCGTGCCGCATAGCCTTTGTGGAACTTCGAAAAAAGACATTTTAAACTTGCAACGTTGAGTAACAGCAAGTGAAGAGCTATGGTGAACTTCCATATATTTCAAAGTTTGTATCCAGGCTCAAGGCACGTGCACGATGAATAAGTGCCGTATGATAATCTGAGCGAGTATCAAACACAAGAACGTAAAGCCGCCAGCTTCTCATCGCTCTGGCGTCACAGCAGCGACTCATTCTTGCGTCGAGTTGTAATTTGTGTTGAAAAATGGATCTTCGACTAAATGGCGTACTTTTACGTGACTCGGCGAGGGCGGCTGAACTGATGCGATATGTACGACTTCCATCATAACTTAGAGACAGGTTACATCACGTCGTGAATCTTCCTTCGTTGACGGCTGAAATATACAGTCAACAAGTTCGCATAATGTCTCCAAAGTAAGTAAACAATGGTACGTTCGATAGGAAGGAATTACAGTAGCAAATTATGCTACTTACAACTGGAGGCTCTACCACGTGCATCAGGAATTATTCCAACATGCTATTTTTTTTTTTTTAAATATCGACAGCTTGGTTATAGGAAAATTATTCTGATTTTAAGCCGACGTCAAAATTTTCCGACCCCGGTTTTCAATAGCAAATGTTACAGTACATTTTCTCCCCAAACAGCTATATATAATTACTAATTAATTAATTAGTAATTAATGGTGCGTACTTCGATTGAAAGTCCAAAAATGAAGATTGTGAAAAAAATTCTAAAAGCTAGACGTCAGCTTGTTAGGTACTGCGCTGAACGTACTGCTGAACGATCAAATTGTTTATTCCAGTAGAACAATGTATCTCTCTGTTCGTCGTCCCTTTGTCATCTGGTTCATTTCTATGAAGATGTCAATGAACCGTTCATCCGTATAACGGATAAGCAACTATTGGTATATACAACTTATGTTTGAGGCCGCTTCTATTGCCCAATATGAAACGCAATAAGCAGACGTTCCGCAGTATGTTATAAAGGCTTAATACTTCCAGTAAATATATGCTAGACGCAAAAATTTGTCGACTGAGTACAACATTTATATAGATAGAAATTTTTAACTTTCCTTAGGAAAATCCCCATCTAGAAAGTGTCAATACTACCAATAGCTACAAACCATAACAGGCAGAGAGTTCACCTTTGATAATAGATTGCTGCCTGTTGGGTCGTATGCTTGGCATGGTCATGGAGCTGGGCGTCTGCACAGTTTGTTCATGTTTAGGTGTTTTTTTTTTTTTATCACACCATAAGGACTTTCAACTTCGAACAATTTTCTTGACAAAATCACGCCGTACATCTCCGGTCGCACAAGATGGCTAATTTGTTTCTTTCTTTTTAGACGTGCTCCGTATCGCATAGCAAAAACGCTTCGCCATGATCCATGTTTGTCATCTGTTTTATGTTAGATGCCACGTTATGTGTCACGAGGGCTTTCTGCATATTTCATGTCATTTACAATCTACTCACCCTTTTTTTCTGTGTTCATTTCCATCCTACTCTCGCGCATGAGCGCAATCGAACTGGAAAAATTGCCCCATCAAATCATAAGACCAACTATCGTGGCACAAAAAATTTATTTCGAAAACTCTCACCATGGTATTACTATTGAAGCACATAAAATACGGTCTGTGTTATCCAATCGAAGTGGGTAGTTCGCAGAAGCACGACAGTAGACAGCTAATTTTTTTAAGACTATTTTTTTTTATTTGGCATTTGCTTTTTTATGAGGTACAACGGGGCAGTAACCAAGGGCTAGCATAGAAGAAAATTCCATCGAACTGAGGCAGGTGGTGCCTGCATCGTTCGCAAAGACTATAAGATAGAAGTTATTGTCAACCTGTGTCAACTCATATAAGGTATTGCTTGTTCATGTTTTTCAATGAAGTCATTCAGTAGGATCCTTTCTTAGCTCTGTCGTTGCTTCGATATTTGGGCTTTAATGTGTCGGTCGTACGGAAAGAGCGAGACAATGGTATTGTTCTACAGCCTACGAGTCATCGGTATTTCCTGTTCGTAACGCATACCATGTTCTCCGAACCAGCCCTGATCTGATACGAATGTTTCCGATCAGTGGTAGCTGTCTACAGTTATAGGAATTCGATTGCGATATTCAATGAACCTGGTGCGATTGATGGATGGTAATTTTAGGGTAGTATCCGGGTTAGGCCTATGCGAAGAATGTCAGCGTACAATGAGATTGATGTTTAGCAAAGGCGCGTCCAATAACGCGTGGCGACATTACGCCAGCTACCATTCGGTATTGACTACGAGAGCGCCAATAGGGTAGGCCGTCCTTATAGCTTTGCACACTTTCTGAAACCTCTCTCTGCCCTGAGAGTGTTCCGTTAACGTCTTGTTCTATATTTTAATTGTAAATATATAGTAATTTATGCGTAATTTTGCGCTTGCACTGTACCATTGAGACATTCATCAATTGTACAAAGGAATAGAAGACGATATTTTGAATTTCCCGCCCTTATTCAACTCATGAAGATCTTTGCAGTTATATCAAAAGCTTGTTATATGTTTGTTGAATAAAACTGGTTATTGAAACTGCAAGTGTCCTTTAATGCTGCCTCCTACATGTGCTATCATCTGATCTTTGTGTTCTGCTGATGTAAAATGTGCGGCTATAACAGTTTACATGCATATTTAGTTCCGTGAACGAAAGTTAGCATTATATGCTTGCGTACATATAATGAGTTCTTCGGTTTGGTCTAGGAATGAAAAAAAAAATATTGTTATTCTCCTACAAGTAAAAGAATATATAGTATTTGCACGATTCACAAGAAACGTGCGCTATACATAAAAATGAGACAAATGACTTACTAGAGTATATCATAGCTCTATGCACCTTGTATCCTTATATAACCTTTGAAACGCTGCACTTACGATCTGTCGCGGAACTACTGTAACAGAGCTTCAGATAATTTTGCGGTTTAAGACAATCTTTTTTAGCAACAAAGATTTGATCTTTATTCTATAAACGCAATACTTCCTATTTGACTGTTTCTGATAAAAAATGATTTCATTGCGTGCCAGCAGATACCTTTGATGACATGAAGCTCTTCAGCTCAGATTTCGCGTTTGGCGTTGATTTTCAACGGGATACCATTACAAGCTACAGTGGGATGAAGGAAACGAAAGAAGGTTGCGCGAAGGAAGGGAAATCGTTCGATGTTGCCCGCCGTAGCCTGCGGCGAACCCGAGCGGGCCAACTACGAGAAAAGCAGGGAAAGTCGATATTGTCTCTATGCTGAAGACGTCTCATTCCAGTCGATTTAGCTGGAGCACAACAATGTACAGCTTAGCCTGGACCAGTCATATTCCCTGCGAACTTCCCCCTACTAACTTCCGCAGGAGGGAAGGCCTTACGTAGGAAAAGCTCTTTTAGACGACTTTTGGTCGGTTTTGCGGCTTGTGCTTGGTATTACACTTTGTGTATAACTTTGTGCGGTGAACTTGGTATTACATACTGAATGAAGATGGAGCACGGAATGCTAGTCTTGCCTGCTCGTTTACTGTACAAGAGTATTACTGAATTGGTAGGCGTCGCTAGTGAGCCCTGTGTATTTAGGTGGCGACCTCTTTAATCAATAAATAGAGGCACTGAGCAGTACAAATTGTTGAAAATTAACGTACATTCCTTCAATGGCTTAGTGTAGAAAACTGAAGTATTTGTGTACTGTGTAGCCTGTTCTATATAATGAAAATGAAACATATATAGCAGATCGTGTCCGGAAACTACCGTTGAGTTGTGCCAGTTACTTGTTTTTTTACATTTTTACATTTACCTACATTACATTTTACAGTTTTTACATTTACTTACTTTTATTAGCACACAGCATAAAACACCAGATTGAAACTAGAGTTTACCAACACTGAAATTAAGACAGCGTTCTAACTGTTATACTAAATAGAAGCAACATTTTTTAGACGAATTCCGAAGCGAAACGTAACTCTTAATCAGCAATAAGGAATCACTGACGTAGAAATGGTGTGGTTTTTTATCCGGCGTTTACTCTGGTTAAGCAATACTTGATTCAAGAAAGCTCTCACTTCGAGTATACGGATGCCAGTTAATAACTATCACTTCTAGCTTACTAACTTAGAGCTAACACAATCTTTGCCTTCCTTCGTCTCGAAGATAAACACTGAACGCAACTTTAGAATGAAGACCAAGAGTTGTCTCAGACTCAGGACATAAACCAGCCTTTGCTGCATAAAGCGGCGAACACTGCACAAAGGCGCTGTTCCTTGTCATCCGTTAAGT